ACTAAAATCAAAAATTAGTCAACAAACAGCGCCAGGAGATAAAACATGTGACAGCACCAGCCTCGCAATCTACGTTGTTAGATTGAATTGCTAGACGTGGATCAACCTCACTGACATGGAAGTGGTTTGGCTTTGAAAAGATGGATGTTGCTCAAAAGACATTGATCTGCAAACTACGTCAAATATCGGTTGCCGAACAGGATATCAAAAATATGAAAAGCTTCAAGAGTCAGCTGTCCACGACAGGCCTGAACTAGCAAAGGTACCAGCACAAACAAACACCGCCACAATGATGATGACGACAGAATCAAAGCCACTATGATATCAGCTACAATGGCTAGAGCGACAGATGTCATTAATACTTGCACTGGTGACTTTAATGATTTTATCCATCCATTCATCGTCAACCGCTTATCCTGCGTACAGGGTCGCAGGGGACTTCAATGATTTATTGTTTTTAATTGAATTCTTCAGTTTTAAGTAAATAAGACCCGTTTTTATTCATGTGATTAGTAAGCAACAATTAATATCTATAAACAAGAGGTAGTACAATATTACTTTCACAAACACATTTTTGAAGAAAGCAAAATAACATCTAATTATATCGAGATCACTTTTTGTCAATATTGCACACATCCCTACATGAGTGTTGACGTTTCATCTTTCCTCTGTGGTTGTGTAGGATTAAATATTTTTTTGAAATTGTACACACAAATAAGACTCATTGTTACCATTTAGTTCATGTTTAAAACTGACTTATTACAAACAAAACAGGAGCTGTATGCATGAAGTCATATGGACTGACACGTAACTCAGTGATTGGACAGTCTTGGTGATGTCATCCCGCATTGTCAGCGCATGTATAAATGTGGAGAAATCAAATTACACTGACTTTACAACAAGTCATGCAGCTCTTTACTGAGCCATACAGGTTTATTTATATTCTGTAGTGTGAAAAGAGCTCATGGCGACAGATGATAATGAGCATTAAATATCGTAACATTTTGTACCATTATATAAGGGAGTGTGGTCTGTGTGGTCGCTACATGTCACATTTTTATTTACGAACTTCTAAAAGAGACAAAGAAGGACACGCGCTCAAAACACCTTTTGTTTTTACTACAGATAGGGAGAAACCTTTCTTAAAAGTTAACGATTAGATGGATTCAATAGTAGTTTTAGCTTTGAGCTGAACCAAATAGGTAAAGTGAGAAAAAACGTTAACGGGCTCTGTCTGCAGATACTAAAAGAATAAGTGTGCATAATGTGAGCACACTTTTGTGTTGCTTCCCTTGTAATATCCAGGTTGAGAGCCTTGAATTTGCAGTATGCTGCCCCTGTGTACATGGGTGTGGACGACATATTTCCGACCTGGTCCATGTTACAAACCCATAAAACTTACTGCCTGTCATGGCTGCAGTGTGTTCACTGTTTTGGTATTTGCTGGCGCACTGTTTACTCACCTGACAGAATTACACCCTCAGGTCAATGAAGGTTATGCCATACTGTCCTTATGAAAATCACTTGCAGTACATTGAGTTACTGTGGGCTCCGCTTCTCTATCTAATGGTAAACGGGTGAAAGAGACCATAATTATAAGCCTATGTAGCATATTGGCTCTGCATTCTGTATGTCTTCGAGTAAGGAGATGAGTTACAAGTTTGTTCCCTGTACATTTCTTTCCTGTCATCGGTGCATGTGCATGAAATCACTAGAAGCTAGTCTTGTCTGTGTGTGAGAGGAAGTTCTCCATGCTGTAGGCTTTTTAATATTCATGCTGTGACACTGTATTTTGTTTTGTTTGCCTCTTCATCGGGCCCAGCAGTTTGAAGCCAATAACGCTCTTTAAATCCTGAACGAGCCGCTGAATGTAATCAAGCTCGCAGCTGTAAAGAAAGTTTGAGGAATTTTAAGCCTTGTGCGCATTTTTTAAGAAGCGAGCACTGATAGTCCATTTCATTCATTTATTTGCCGGTAAATATCTACCAGAGCTGCCAACATGACAGAAGGGGAAGAAGAAGAAGGGAATGACAGCAGGATAAAATGAGTTTTAGATTTATAATCCCCCAGCCGTGACCCCCATTTCCTGCTTCTTGACGTCCCGGGGAAATGTCATGTCAGACTTGTGTTGGCCAGATGAGACGGACAGGAGAGAGACGCCTCCGCAAACAACACAAAAACACACACTCGTCTCCCACACTGCGTGCACACAAACTTCCCTGTCAGCGTCCCTGCTGATACCAGCATTCACTCACCTGCATTTTATGTTTTGTTTTGTCACATGATATTGGTTTGCTTGCCATCATGCACACTTTTCCTCTAGATAGCAGTCCAGTTCAGCTGTAATTCCTTGCCCATGTGTAGAAATGGACACTTTTTCTCTCTGTTTCTGCTCGAAATGTCATTACAGGAAATGTCCATCTGTAGGACACTCAAAGGACGATTCTTGCTTCCAGCAAGACTAAAGAGGATTATGTAATTGCACGTTATGGAGGAGGTTTTAGGGCCTCAAAGTGTGTGAAGATGATTTCACCGAGGTAGATTTTTACTGTTACTAAAATGCGGCTATGCCTGCTTAAATTCAGTGTACACATTCTCCAGTGGCTTTAACCCACTGTAGTGCAGAGGATGATGCAGATCTCCCAGGAAATCTAAAGATTTCAGACTGAACTTAAAATTTGGTTTATCCTGCAGATGATTATGGGTTTTCAGAGATGTGTGGGGTTCATGTTGATTCACCTGTCTATTGGTGTGACGGCAGCAACAGTTAAAGTTGCCCTCCTCTGACCAGTCAGTCAGACGACGTGAAGCAGGAGAGTGGAGGAGCATGTTTTCTCTGCCAGTCTGTCAGTGTTGGTCTGTCTCAGTGTGTGGGAGCGGCCTTTGACCCGCTGCAGACAAGCGTGTGGTGATGAGGCGGAAAGCCTGCTGAGCCTGCCGCACTCCTGTCATTAGCATGGAGAGTCACGCTCCCCCTCTGCACCAACCATTGTTTTCCACTGTTTCTGTCCTTGAGAAGAAACCCTCGTCTTTTCACCAGCCAACATTTGGTCTTTTTTTTTATTTAGCAGGTTATGATGGAGGACAAGGATTTTCTAATGCATCACAAATTGATGCATGGCTTATTTTTTCCTCTTTCCCCCACCCCTTGTAGACTAGAATATTTAATAATTATGTATTTTTCCTATCAGTGGAGATCCATTCTGGTGTTTATTTCAGCCCAGTAGCTGAGCGATGGCTGTTTTTGTAGCCCTGCTAAGCTGACAGTTCCATTTGGTGGATTTCTGCTGCGGTTTGTGTTCGGGGGAGGTGACACTTTGTGGATCACAGAGAAGGTGACATAGGGCACGATGCCTTAATGGGGGCATTAGAAATTAGACAGAAATTAGAAAGAGGCTTGTGTCAGGTTGTTTCCTTTGATTCAGTTTTTTGTTTTCTCCTGATTCAGAGCTGACATGAAATGATGCCATTTTTACCACCACACATATATTGTCATTTTATGTATGAGGCTTTTGATCAGTGGACAGTTTCTGTTTGTATTATAGCTGGGTCGTATGTAAATGTTCGTACTTTAGGCTCATTTGTTGTTGTTTTCTTAGAATTTGAATGTAATGGCATACTTCCCCTAATGTTCAGTTTTTTTGTTTTTTATAAAATTTAGTTTGTCAACTGTATTTTACCAACAAAAAGACTTTCAGGTTTTAATAGTCTGCCAAGTCATTAAATGATGCAGTGGTTCAGGCTCAGATCGGATTGAACCAGTATCCATGTCAGTTTGACAAAGTCGGGTCTGATTTTGGTCATCAGGTCCATGATACAATTTATTTTGATATCCTTATTCAAATTAGATTCAAACGTATCTCCAGCAATATCAACCTTGTCAAATATCAGTGTCTTTTCATCTAGTAGCATCACGATTATTTTGATTTATCCAGTAATGTGGTTTATGACCGAGCCTCTGTTCTGCTTTGTGTTTTGTGCTAATTACCAAAAGTTAATTGCTAAAATGCTAACTCAGATGATGTACACATTATACCTGCTAAACATCAGCGTGTTAGCATTGCTATTATGAGCATGTTAGCAGGTGACGACATTATTTAGCTCAAAGCATCGCTGTGCCTAAGGACAGCCTCAGAGCCACATTTGGCTGTAGACTTTTAGTATCAGTACAAAATGTCAAATTGCATCGTCTTTCAACCTCATTTTATAATGCATCATGTACCCCAATGAAAACTCAAGCAAGAATGTTATATAACTAAAAAGAATGGTTTTAATTTTCACAAGAGTTTCAGGAGATTTCAAACTCTACCATTCCTTGTTATTTACTCAGTATGAAAACATCAGCCAAGTACTGATTAACAAAGTGCAGAGCTGTACCTTGAGTCTTTCGGTTCTTTGCACATTTGTATAAACAAGTCTCTGCTTAAGGGAGGGGTGTCTGCTGAACCACTTCTGTCCTAATACCTATATCTGAGTGCGCCAGTGTTTTTTGGCACATGGGACCTGCATTAAAAACTCCGTGCCATTCGTGACAGCAGCCGTCCCAGCCAGCTCCCGCAGAGCCTCTTTCCTGCCTTGGGGAGACTTGGAGGTGCCTGAGTGGCGCAGGTTCTGCCAGCGTGTGCCTGACTAGAGATGAGACCCAGTTTTCTCTGACACAGCCCAACATCTCCAGAGATTTCATTTCATCTCTTAATATCTCATTCTCCATTTGCCTTGTTTGTTTTGTAGCTGAGGCTTAAATCTTTGCTGCCGTGTACCCAAGCAACGATCGCTATTACTCAAATAATACAATTTAAATATATAGGATAGACTTGCAAAAATATGTCTGCCAAAAATATTGACATTCTTTTTATGTAACGGGCTGTATTTGAGACATTTGTGCAAAGCAGAAGTGAAGCATTTCCCCCCAAATACATGGATTGTATTCTACTGTTCTGTTAGATTTCCAATATAGTTCCAATCACTAGTTACTGACCGGTTGTTTTGTTGTGTTGCAGAGGGAGATGAAGGAGCAGCTGGCCACCCTGCAGGACAGTGAGAAGGGACACACAGAGGCCCTGCAGCTCCTGCAAAGACAACTTACTGAGACCAAGGTACTGGACTACCTCCCCTGTTAAAAACAAAACTATTCTTATGTAGAGCTGCAGCAACAACAATCAGTCAGCTGCAAACAGCTGCAACTAAAAATAGTTTATTTTCTACATAGTTGCAATGTCAGAAAAATGGTCATCACAATTTCCCAGAGCCTAAGGTGGAGTCATGCTTTATCCCACTATTAGTGCAAAAGTATTGAGTTTACAAGGACATAAAACAGAGAAGCAGCAAATGGTTTCATTTGAGGAGCTGAAACAAGGGAGTATTTGGCATATCTGCTGGATAAACAGCTTATGATTGATCAATTAATCAATAAGTTGTTTCAGCACAAGTTGCCACTCAGGTCTCGAGCTGAAACAATTAATCAATTAATCGATCAGAAGATCGACAGCAACTGTTCAGATTTGTGTCATTTTTCAAGCAGAAATCCCAAATGGTTCCAAGTATATCAATACATCTAGACTTTCAGCACTTGAGAATATGCGGTCGCCCTGGACGTACAAAGATAACATTTGCAACAGAGAAGAAGTTCTGAAATATTTTTGGCTTACATTGGACACCATGAGATACTGCTTCACAGGGACACCTCTTATCATAAAGCATGTTCTGAGTTAGGAAGTCGGCTAGAAGACCTTCACATTTACTGCTTGGAGAAGAAGTCTTTGCTGTTCTGTGTTGGCTTCTTATTTGTGATTACTTGCTGCTTTTTTTTGTCTTATTTGATTGTAAGGCTGAATCTAACAATTATTTTCACCATCGATCAGGAAATTAAAAAAGAATATGAATATGCTGAAGGTGATATTTTTAAGATGTTCTGTTTTGTCTTAGCAGTTTGAAATACAAAGACATGCCTTTTATTATCATAGAATATTTAAAAATCTGTGTGTGTGTATGTATGTATGTATATATATATATATATGTATGTATGTATGTATGTATGTATGTATGTATATGTATGTATGTATGTATGTATGTATGTATGTATGTATGTATGTATGTATGTATGTATGTATGTATGTATGTATGTATGTATGTATGTATGTATGTATGTATGTATGTATGTATGTATGTATGTATGTATGTATGTATGTGTATGTATGTATGTATGTATGTATGTATGTATGTATGTATGTATGTATGTATGTATGTATGTATGTATGTATGTATGTATGTATGTATGTATGTATGTATATGTATGTATGTATGTATGTATGTATGTATGTATGTATGTATGTATGTATGTATGTATGTATGTATGTATGTATGTATGTATGTATGTATGTATGTATGTATGTATGTATGTATGTATGTATGTATGTATGTATGTATGTATGTATGTATGTATGTATGTATGTATGTATGTATGTATGTATGTATGTATGTATGTATGTATGTATGTATGTATGTATGTATGTATGTATGTATGTATGTATGTATATGTATGTATGTATGTATGTATGTATGTATGTATGTATGTATGTATGTATGTATGTATGTATGTATGTATGTATGTATGTATGTATGTATGTATGTATGTATGTATGTATGTATGTATGTATGTATGTATGTATGTATGTATGTATGTATGTATGTATGTATGTATGTATGTATGTATGTATGTATGTGTATGTATGTATGTATGTATGTATGTATGTATGTATGTATGTATGTATGTATGTATGTATGTATGTATGTATGTATGTATGTATGTATGTATATGTATGTATGTATGTATGTATGTATGTATGTATGTATGTAGTATGTATGTATGTATGTATGTATGTATGTATGTATGTATATGTATGTATGTATGTATGTATGTATGTGTATGTATGTATGTATGTATGTATGTATGTATGTATGTATGTATGTATGTATGTATGTATGTATGTATGTATGTATGTATGTATGTATGTATGTATGTATGTATGTATGTATGTATGTATGTATGTATGTATGTATGTATGTATGTATGTATGTATGTATGTATGTATGTATGTATGTATGTATGTATGTATGTATGTATGTATGTATGTGTATGTATGTATGTATGTATGTATGTATGTATGTATGTATGTATGTATGTATGTATGTATGTATGTATGTATGTATGTATGTATGTATGTATGTATGTATGTATGTATGTATGTATGTATGTATGTATAAATAAAAATAAAAATATGGCAGATCCTGTTTTTCAGTTTTAAGCATGTTTCACAACAAGTTAAACAATCAATTGATTAGAATAAGATAATGATAAGAATTACATTTTTCAGTAGACTAATGACGTGATTTACCAACCGTTTCTTTAATCTTTCAGTGTCATAAATGGCACGATAAATGTAGAAACAATAAAATAATTGTTAGAATTCCCATTCAGGGTGTCCGTGGGGTGTTAAAAAGTCTTAAAAGATAAATCAATTTTGCGAAAATTAAGGCCATTAAAAAGTATTAAAAAGTCTTAACAAGGTATTAAATTTTGAAGATATTTTTTTCAATGTGAAAAGTTTGTTTGCTGAAAGTGTAGGTGAATGTATTTATTTATAATGCATAGCCAAAAATACTAGACAGGCAGCGCGTAGCGACTGCATGAATCGTTTCCGTAACGTTAGGCTCAGGGATCTACCGTGCGCCTATTTCACTCTTAAACACTCCAAAAATAGATCCATGCAAACCGGAAAATGATTTACGTATACAACCGACCGTAAACTCCCACCCCGCCGGACCCTCAATGCTAATTGTCCAAAACATAGTCGGAGTGGTGATCAGGAGAAACGGGATTATGTCCTTAGGCTGGTCGCTCTATGGCAACAGCCCCGTTCCTGAAAAACCAGAGCGAGATGCACCACCAGCAGCTGAATCGGTAAGACAGAAGACAACAGGGAAAATTCAAGGAGGGTGTGGGTTTGGTTAACGTTAGCTGGCTATTTGATGAACAGATCAAACACATAAGTTAGTAGCCTGCCCAAAATCAAGGTTGGAGACTATGATGTATCCTAGAGCATTTTTCTTGCACAAAGTTAATGAATGGAAAAACAACCCCAAACTGAAACAGCTGTGATTTGAATTAATATTATATGAGTGGTTAGTTATATATTATATGAAATTATATTGAATATAGTAACTTACAGTTTACTATTAAATTAACAATATACTTTTAATTTAATGTTATATTATACTAATACAGTCATTTAGACTAGTTCCTCCTCCAGGTTGTGGCTGTGCTACACCGCCTACACTACTTACGTTATTCATCACTCAGTTTATTCTCTTCATCTTTGTTCCCTCCTGGCCTATTTGAATTTTGTTGTATTGATTGAGTGGTCGATGAAAGTTATCACACACATCATTGCAGGCAAGCTCACATTATCTAGTTTAAACCAACTAAAACACAAAATTTCACAGTTTCACATGATTTGCTGTAATGTTGCGTACATAAACGTCATAGCTTGTGTAAGACAGTTGCTTTTCACAGGAAATCTGAGCAGTCCTTCACATAGAAAACTGTTGGCCCATACAGGCTGTTATAGGCAACTGAAAAAGTTGGTGAATGCCTCAATTTGTAGGTGTTGTTATAACCTGATGACATAGGCAATTAATGTTATAAATATACTTAAATTGCTTTTAAAACCTCAAAAATGTGTGGCTGATTTAATTGGTTACAGCTCAAAGTGGCGTGGCAGTCTTAAAATATGTTGAAAACGTCTTGAAAAGGTCTTAAAAAGGTATTGAATTTTACTTATATACAGGATTCCTGTGTATATACCCTGTTGATTTAACAAGTTATTATACATCAACAAATGGCATTTCACTGTGTGAATATTTACATAAACAAGACATCCTTGTTTGCATCTAAAACGTCCACATGGAGACAGTAACACTCAGTCTTAGTTCTCTTAAAAAGTGGAAGAATAACAGACAGCTCTGTTTATCGTGTGCAGTCTTTAATTATCAGTCTTGGCTTTCAACGTGATTTGGATTGGCAGTTAAATTCCGACACTTAAATTGGTTTATTGAGTGGTTGTTTAATCTCGACACCTAGTTTTAATCATCGAACCTTGAGCATCCACTCAATATGTCAGTCCCTCAACCCCCCTCCCACCCACACACATCTCGTCTCTCTCCTGTAGTGACATTGAGGCTATTGACCAGGGAAGGGTCTCCGGCAGAGATGATGTTGTAGCCGTCAGCGTTATTTGTCATTTGGGGAGCACATTTACATTTCTCCCGTTTTTGTACCTGTTGTCCTGATGTCAAAGCATTGCTCGTCTTTCTTTCCAAGTTCTGCACTGCAGGACCCTCCGCTGCCAGAGAGAGCCAGGCCCCTGTCCATTTCAGCCCGTCCATTGATTCACTCTGACCGCCCCCTGCTCCTCATTGGAAATGAGCTGATCTCATTAGATTTACATCTATTTGCACAGTGCTCTGCCTGGAAGAGAGCCACACTGTAACTTCATTGATCTCGGATGCATTTAGGCAGTTGACAATGAAATGCCTCCCTGCATTTCTTCATCTTGCTAAATTTGAGGTTGCTTGAAGTTATATTTCTTCTTCGTTTCTAACTTATTGTTGTTAAAAGATAAAACATTACCAAACTCATTATGGGCAAAACAATCACAATCAATGCAGCACAACCAGAGACATTGCCTTTTTTTTTCTATGCATTCTTCTTCCTTCTCAAAACCTGGCGCCTACAATACCCACAATGCAACTCCGCCACCAACAGCTCTCTTGGAGACTCTTGTGTGTTATGCTAGTAGCGGCTAACGTAGCCTCGAGCTGTAAGCCTCAAGCAGAGAGGAGCCGGCTACAGAGGTCTGGAAACATCTCTTCTTTCTAACTCCACACCCTCAAATTTAAAATGTGTTCCTTTCTTGTAGTTTTCAGTTTTTTTCCCTAAAGGATGCTGGGTCAAGTGACATCACTTGAGGTAATTTAAGAGATTTTGTGTCTCCCTCTGGAGCACCAAAAGGCTTTATACAACTTTTTGCAAGTATATAAAAGTATTTCCCAAAAGCTGTAAACAGACGTGTAAAATCGGTGCAATTCCCCCTCAACGTCAGACTGAGTTGCATCTCAGTTCTTGTACTAAGATTGAGAATCTCTGCAGCAGCCCGGCTCTCATTTTCACTGAATGCGCCTGCCTTGCACTCCAATTTGAGTCCTTGGCTCGCGTGTGTCTCCGTCTGAAGGATAGACATTGTGTCCTATTCACATGTCTACCGGGGATTCGCTTGATTATCACATGCTTCCCTGTCTCCAAGGGCTGCAGACACCCTCTCAATGCCATCACATCCTGCTGGGCCAAAGCAGTAGACACATCAGAAAGACTGATAGGTGGGCTTGTGAAGTCCTCCTCCTTCTACATACCATCGGTTTTCAATTCCTAACTGGATAGGGGGACTGGGATACAGCCCACTTTTAATGTCATAGCTCTCATGCTTGCCTGAAATAGTCATTTGAATCAGTTCCCAAAGGCCGAGGGAGAATACCTTCCCCCGGTTTCTGAAAGAACAAGAGGAACAGGCCTGCTGTGTGATTAAAACCTCTGATCACAGCTCCTAAATCCAGCTCCTCCTGAAAAGTTCAGAGGAGTGGTAGGAATTCCCAGTAGAGAAAATAAACAAGTTTCATTTGAAGATCAATTTCACTGTGATTCAATTAATTCTAGTTCTTGTTCTGAGCTCCTCTTTGGTGAGCATGCTTGGATTTATTTTGAATCTGTGTGCAAACAGGAGTTCAGCTTTTTCAGTAAAATTATGACTTTTAAGGACAGACGGGAAAACTTTGGACAAAATGTCAGAAGTCCAATTGCTTTCCTCAGATGCTTCAAATTGAAAGGCTCCTGCGCCTCTCTGCGTGATTTTTGCAGGGTTTTCACGTCACCCCCCCTTTGTTCTGTCTCTCTAACACTCAGATGATTCATTCTCTTTGATGTCTAGCTTCCCATTTTCCCTCTTCAGCTACAAATCAGTTTCTTCAACTCTTGAGCTCCCAGTCTGCAGTCCCCCTGCAAATTGCTCAGCTCTGTCTGTAATAGCTTCAGCTTCTCTGTCTGTCCACCGGTCTTGTAGTCCATCGTCTTCACACACAGGATGTCCTTTGCGACCCCCTCCTGATCCTCTCTTTTTGGGTTATTTCTGTCAGTTTGTTTCTCCTCACTAAAACGGTGAAAAACCTACTTTCTCAGGTTGTTCATTGAGAGCCTCTTAGAATCAATACATGTTCAAGCTGATTCAATGAATGAATGTTAATGTAATATAACACAGTTTAGAGCACTTTATAAGCCCTTGAATTACTGGCCCGTGTCTAATTGAGAGTCAGGCTATTGTGACTGAAACACTCAACAAACCCAGCTAACTATAGTACAAAGTCTACTTCACAGTCCTGTAATATGGCATTTATTAATTGCTCAGCTGAGGGTGTTTTGGGTTTTTTTAAGTAAACTTTTGCTTCTCTTTTTCAGTCCTCAGCCAAGAGTCTGCGTGCAACCATCGGCGACGCATTTGAGCGCCTTCACCGCTTCCTGCGCGAGCGACAGAAGAGCATGCTGGAAGAGCTGGAGATGGACACGGCCCGCAAGCTGGCCGACATCGAGCACAAGATTCAGCGCTATAGCCAGCAGTTGCGCGACGTCAAGGAGGGCATCCAGATCCTGCAGGAGCGTCTCAACGAGTCAGGAAGACATGACTTCCTGGAGGGAGTAGCCGTCACATCTGAGAGGTGCTTCACCTACTGAGTTTGGCTCTAACTGTACCAGTATCATCACTGCAGTCTGATGACAAAAACGTGTGGTTGTAAACACATTTGCCTGAGAAGGATCAGGTTTTACCAACTCTAGAAGTCTTGTATCAACCCTTTATCTAACCGTAAAATATTTGCCGTTAAAATTGTTGTAACTATGATATCTCACAACATGCCAAATGTGTGTTCTGTTGGTGCTAAACATAAAGTTCCTTAAATTTTGGAGAAAGTACAGATTTGAGCAGCAGCATCAGCTAATCCCTCAACAGATGTTGTATTAGGCCAGAAATAAAGCAGCTGTAATGTTTAATCTGGGAGGGGTACTTGAGGATGATTTAATTGAACAGTTTAATACTTTAGAGCAGATTAATGAGGTTGAATGAAGAGCCAGCAAGAGTGACTGAATCAAACAGCATGTTAGCTTTTACAAAACACCACAATATGTGTAAAGTTGGAATATTAACATTTTTTGGTGCAAGTATTATTTAATCTCAAGATGGATGATACAGGGCTCTCAAGTCTCACGCATTCACCGTGAGACACACTCATTTCAGCCAGTTCACACGCTCACACGCCACACCTTGTATTTCTCACGCTGAGAAGTAAGTTAAGAGATAATGTCCTCAAAGTTGTCAATTAATGGACGATCTTTTTTGTGCCGAGTTCATAGCTTTCTCTGTAGCCTACTAAATGCCAGAGCCGTTAAGCCGATCAGAAATTAAAATCTGTTGTTTCTGGGTAAATTCTGTGATCCCGATGCAGGCGCATTCGTTACAAGGCAACATGGATGCGCGTGCACACACGGAGTGGAAGTTGGAAGTGCAAGACCCGATGGATGCGGTAACTGTAGTTTTTATTTTTTAGCATTTTGATTTTACGACTCCTGGACGAACCCACTTGCCTGTGATCAAAGATAGTGAGAGCAGGTGATGTTGAGGAATGTAGCCAAATGTGTGCTAAATGATTATTGATGCAGTTAAAAACTCTCCAACCTCTTTGCAACCTGCAGCTTTGGCTTTTTTAGCCAGTGTTGAGCAAAGTAATGTAGGCCTATTCTGATCCTTTAAAACAAAAAAGACCAATACCTCACAGTAAAAATAAAAGTAGCCTACTCAAAGCAGAAAGAAAAATGTCCCCTATTAGTGTTATACTATTATATATATATCATTTAGATTATTATTCCTCATGCATTAAATGTAGTTGGTTGAACTATTTTGTATCAGACTGCAATTGATTATTTTTTATAGTCATACAATATTTCCCTTTGAGATATGGAGTAGAAATAGAAATGGAGTTCAGTGGAGTTCAGTAGAAATACCTTGTGTACTTAAGTACAGAACTACTTTGTTACTGTCCACCACTGAGCTTAGCTTTGGCTACCTGAAACTAAGGAAAAGACTAGAGATAGTTTTCAATATTAATCAAATATGGACAGAAAGCTATCATCCATCATGATTGTGAAAATGGCTGGCCTTGAGCCACAGTGCTTCAAGTGAGAGCCCCCTACCCCTGTCATCAATGCATTAAAAGGTGCACCAGACACAACACAAAACAAAACACCATTCATAAGCTGAAACGTGTAGCCTACTCACACACACAGTTAGGCATACATATGTAGGGCAAGTTCTGCCATCCTACTGTAGTGTACAGCACTGCTGTTCAGTGGGCTCGCTTGGGGCCAAATTTCTTTTTAGTTTTGATACATTTATATTTTTGGAATGTAAGTATATATTTAAATAGTCTTTTATCAGAATGACCTATTGTTAAAATTTCTATTTGTTCGGGTCAATAATGAACTATAAAATTTAACTGCTTATAAAAACTTGACAGAATTGGCTGGGGCAGAGGGGCCGCTGCTGCAAAAATTTGAGTGGCTCCTCCTCTAACACGCTATCTCACTCCAAAGTTTTGATGAAACTTGAGAGCCCTGGATGATGTGTCTCAGAAGAGGCAGTAAATGTAGACATGATGGACAAGCAGGTATGATCAATTTGCATTTCACGCAGCTACAACATCACTGGAAGAGATAAGTAGGGCTCCTTGAAAAGTCAACATACATTTGACTTTTCCCAAAAATATGCCAAATAGGGCTGGACTATTAATTAAAAAAGTTATCGAAAACGAAAATCTGAGCCTCTAACCTACGTAATTTCCCCATGTCGGTTATTTCGGTTATTTAATCCTGGTAATATTGCGTGTGATAATGTAACTTACTTTCCACTGGAAACACCGTGTGTAGTCACATGACTGCGCCCCGTCCAATTCCTGCTCAGCCTTCAGACCGGAGTCTGAAGCACAGGGAGATGTTAGCCAGCGGTAACCGCCTTCACTTTCCAGCAGTTGTGGAAACAGACAGACTTTTATTAACGGACACACTGTGACCTACACTGTACATTTACTGCCAGGTTAATACAACTTATTACTCGCTCTCTTTCAGCGTCACTTTTTCTGCCGCTCGCGCTCTCTCATTCGCTCGTCCACTCACTCGCTACGCAAACACATTGCACTGCAGTTGAAAGACCTAACTGCTGCTGTTATAACCGCGCCTGTCACGTAGATGTCCTTTGATGAATGGGGAGAGGAAGCTAGAAACGCGTGATTTACCGTTCTCACACAGTGTGCGGTGAAAATAATTTGTTCCGCATTGATATTAAATAATAGAGTGAAAGTAGCAGTGGTCATAAGTCAGAAGCGCCGATGCGGCGAATATAGGGGAACCATGTCAACCATACCTTTTTAATTAACATTGAGATCATGGATTTGTGAAATCTGTGAATAAATAAACCCAGCTTTAATAGTTGAGCATATTTACAGTACAAACGTTGTCAGCGAACTATGAGAAACAAAATAATTGTTAAATGATCGTAATCGAGGTGAAATGTTCAATTAATCATGATTTTGATTTTAGATGAAATCGTCCAGCCCTAATGCCAAATGTCTTATTTTGGGGTTTTCTACAAAGAAATGTTTTTATTCATTAAACCTGCAATAACTGATTTGGCCATTTGCAGCTTTGTCACTCTGCTGACCAGTCGTTTTATATTGATGGGAGAGGTCAGCGACTTCATCCCAAATCACCTTGGGTAAATGTATGTTTATGCTCCCGAGTTCAAGATGAGTCATCAAAAATATTTTAATATTTTGCAAGAAGACAAAAGGGTTATTTTGAAGTAGAAACCCCCCCAAATAATTACTACAACGCCATGGAATAGTACTTAAGGAAACATTGTAATATTAATTTATTTTCACACCTTCTTGTCAGACAATATACCACAAAGAACCTTTTCGCCATACATGTTTAAGGTCCCTTTTACAGCATAGTGTACTGTTATTTTCCAGATTATTTTGTGGTAAGTAGCCCACGCAATGTCTTGCCTGAACTCTGGACTACAAGTAGTAGTGGAGAGTTATTGATGTCAGGGTACATGTTGAATCCCCCCCCCCCCCCCCCACCCCACCCACACACACACACACACACACACACACACACACACACACACACACACACACACACACACTGATAACATTCATCTCTGTTGTTGGAGATTCATGAAGCTGTTTGTCAGCTGTTAAATGTCAATGATGGCACATTTCAGAGACACATACCAGCATAATAACTTGAAGCATCGACATTGTGGGTTGAACAAGAGGCAGTATTATTCGGAAAAAACAGCAAATTGGATTTAGCACGTTATTGATCTGTTTTTCTGTCCCAGGATTAAAGGGAAGATACATGAGACCAATCTGACGTATGAAGACTTCCCGACATCCAAGTACATGGGGCCCTTGCAGTACACAATATGGAAGTTGCTCTTCCAGGATGTCTCACCAGGTATGTGAACATGACTGGAACATTTGATGTATGGAAATCAAACATGCTGGTTAGTAAATATACAGCTTTTAATGCACTATAGGTGTTAAAGGAATGGATCAACAAATAGGCTTATCTGCTCTGTTTGCAGAGATGAAGATGAAGAGGTCGATACCACTCTCATGTCAGCCCGCTAAATATAGAACTGCAGCCAGCAGCTGGGTAGCTTAGCTTATCATAAAGGCTGGAAACAGCTAGCTTAGCTCTGTCCAAAGGTCAACCAACAAACAAAATCCACCAGCCACCTCGTTTACACGTGGGTTTTTGTACAGATTCAACAAACAAGATATAATATGTTAATGAGCAAGCTTTAGACTGGCTGGTAGGAGGATATTAGTACTTTTTGGATAGGGCCACACAAGCTGTGTTCCCTTGTTTCCAGTCTTTATGCTTAACTAACCATCTTCCAGCTGTATATATTATATTTAATTCTCTGCAAGAGTGCAAGTAACCATATCTTCCAAATATGTAACTGTTCCTTTTAAAAACAGGTTGATAATCTAATTTTCCTTCAGTAGCTGAATGTTTGACTCGTAGAGTGCAGGAACTACTGTTGCCCTGCATTAGTATTTCTTGGGTGCTTTGATGGGGTTTTTTTTCACCTTCTCGGATGAGAAATGGTGGTCGGATCTGGAGCCCAGCGATGCCCTTCCGTGTTTGACAGTGCTGAGAGGAGCTCTACTCTCTCTGCCCTACAGCCATCACTCACTCACAGGAGAATATTTAAAATAATGTGCTGAGGAATTTCTTATTCCCTCTAATCAATTCTCCCATTTGAGCCCGCTGCCGGCTGAGGGGAGGCCAGTGGCAGTTTTTTGGGCTCCCCTGACTGGCTGCCAAATGGAATAATTGGTTCCGATCCATCACCAGCGGTTGCCAGAGACGAAATAAAGACATTCCTCCCATCATCCCTCGCTGTCACCAATGGTTTAGCGAGAATAACTACCAGACACTGAGCTTTTTTTTTCCTCTCCCCACTCTCATGTTCAGCAGGAAAAATGGGTTCTCCGCTGACATGTGTGTGCGTGCAGGTTTCTCTCTATGACACACAGAGGCACTCAGGTTATGAAATTTTAATGACTTGATTGCAACAAACACGGGAAATGTCATTGACTGGAGAAGGCATTGTCCTCTCCGCTGGCGGGGAGCCAGACATTCCACCTCCATTTCTCCCAGCTGATTTAAATATATTATGTGAAAGAGAGCAAAGAGAACAAGCGGTTATTGTTCTGCCTGATATGATTCCCTAATAAGCAGACATGGGTGCAGATTCTCCCTCCCTAAAACCACATAACTGCACAGAGAAACGGTCTCCTACTGACCCGGAGCCTGTGGAGCAAGCTGGAGCAGCTTCTCCCATCGCTGAAATTACTGCTTCACTGTATCGTTTGCGCCATTCATGTTGCCTGATATTGCTGAAATTGAGTTACCCTGTCAGACACTGGAGAGTGCTTGACTTTGAAGACTCTAGTTTATGCATGAAGGTAAAAACAGATTATTAAAAATGTATCCTGGTGTACTCGCAGTCACACTCCTCACACAACTCATCATTTTTCTGAAATAAGAGTCGAGCAGCAGTTGGGTGTGTCGTATAATAACAAGCCATCCGTCATCTTTTACCACAGGGCATGGCTTTGACTCTGGCAGTAGTGATATAATGTATATGCTGTCATCAGGTGGTACCATCCTAATCACGTGAACACACGTGCACGTACGTCGTGCCTTCAACTGGGTCAAGCAAGCACTTTTTACAAGCAACATATTTTAAGAGTTCTAATATATAGTTATTAGAACTATTGAAGAAAATGATAATTATCACTTTAATGTGTATTTTATTTAAAAATAAATAAAGGTACCTTGTTCAACATTAAATCAAATACAGCATAAAAGCTAATGTGTTAATTTACGCAGTTAACAAACAGCAAGATGCCAAATTAAATATAACATCAGCATTGTTTTCATTAATAGTCCACAAAAGTTCTCTTGCAGTGTAGCTGATGTGAATTCCTTGAAATTAAAAGTTAGTCTGCAATCTTCTGTAGTGGTCCCAGTAATATTTGTTCTTACTGAATCTCATCACATGACATGGTTAAGCTCTGTTTGAGACTGAGAACATGACCACAAATCCTGACATACTGAATCTGGCAAAATATTAATTACACAAATGTAAAAACGGTATGTAAGTAATCCCTGTTCACACTTTAACAAGACTGCCTTTCACTTTTTTATTTATTTTGTTTATTTTACTTCCTAAAAGTATTGTACGCATGTAGAGGCGCATAGAGCAGCATTCACAAACAAAGACTGCCATTTGCAAACCGCATGTTCAAAAACCTGCTGGTGATATAAAACCATATCAAAACACTGAATGGCAGGAAAAGCAGTTATGTTTTCTTGAGTGATTATTTTTGCTTTGTGGCAAAGACATTACCAGCGGAAACACTGTTGCATTGCCCCTGCTGTGGTCCAGCCAATCAGACGGCCCTTCTCTTCCACTTTGGAAGTTTTGGCAGCCTCTTTCTCAGCACGCGCGTTGTGCTGATTACGACACAGCGTCGTCACATCGACGTAATCCAGCAACTGCAGTTATAAATGACAGAAATACACTAAGTGCATCGCTTTTTTAGAAAACAATGTTTACCATGAAGACACCATCAGAGTTTTGTTGAGTGCTGGAGGCGAGACCAAATCTGACGCAAAATAATGATGCCAAATAATTCACACTGCAGGAAAACCCCTCGTCATTTCTCCACCAGGTTGTTGGTCTTAAAGGGTCAGTTACAAAAAAAAACATATTTTCTGACTTTCCTCTTGTGGTATCATGGCATTGAGATAATTTTTGGTTTTATTTGTCCAGGTTTAGAGATATCTGTCTTCTGTCTTTTGAAATCTTCAAGAGGTGAATGAAATTCAACAACAGCTCCTCCAATTCCAGATGGGGCCATTTTGCACTCAAAATATCAGGAAAAAGCAGTTTCTCAATACTTGAAGAACAACAAATGAAACTCAGTTCACCTCCACCGTGTTAGTGGGATTCCACATTAAAAGCTGGACGTGACACTGCCTCTGTATGGCCTGTCAGTTGTACAGCTCCTGAGGAGCTGAGGACAGGACAGCTGACTGACAGCACAATTTACCAGACAAATAAAATTTACACGTAGGCTCCATGAGGATGTATACAGGAAGAAAACAGCATTATTTTTATTCATTGATTTTTTTATTTCCCACCGTAGTCGACGTGGATTGATACATTTGACAAAAGTAGAAGTGTATCTAATCTGTGTGGTTTGCCCTTAAGGGTGGAGAGAGAAACCTCGGAGACATACAGTATTTTAAAACCTGGGAAAGTAAAACTAACCATTTTCAGTGACCTACTGGTCATAACATAAAATCTTCAGTGTATACTTTTCAACTAGACAGTGTGCTTTGTTTGAAACCCGCCGCCGGTGATGAAATCTTTTCATTGGGAGCTTTTCAGAGATCAGATCATAACCTTGACTCCACCTCTAAAGTGCATGAGCAGCCTGTATTTACTTTTCTGCCTCAGCATAAAACTGTATTCACACGCATTTGCAACAATAAAGAAAAATGAGGTCACTGAGAAGACACTGCAGTCCTCACTTTTCTGTTTGGCTAAGCTGAGTCATAACATATTGATGTGTTTGTTTTTGTTGTTTTGTTTTTTTCTTACTTCTATCCTTATATTTATCTAGACTTACTGTTTTCTCTCCACAATCTTAAATCTAAAAATGAAAAACATGCTGACTCTTTGTGCTTAAACTGTTTCTTCCTTCATCTCCCTTTTCTTTCTCAGTGCCAGCAGCGTTGACCCTCGACCCCATCACAGCCCACCAAAGACTGATCCTCTCAGACGACTGTACCATAGTGGCCTATGGGAATCTGCACCCGCAGCCCCTGCAAGACTCCCCACGGCGCTTTGACGTAGAGGTGTCTGTTCTGGGCGCAGAGGGCTTTGCGTCGGGCGTCCATTACTGGGAGGTGATGGTGTCGGAGAAGACCCAATGGATGATCGGTGTGGCCAACGAGACAGTCAGCCGCAAAGGCAGCATCCAGATCCAGCCCAGCCGCGGCTTTTACTGCATCGTCATGCACGACGGGAACCAGTACAGTGCCTGCACCGAGCCCTGGACCCGCCTCAACGTCAAGAGCAAGCTGGAGAAGGTGGGGGTGTATCTGGACTACCCCAAAGGCCTGCTCATCTTCTACAATGCAGACGACATGTCCTGGCTCTACACCTACCGGGAGAAATTTCCCGCCAAGGTCTTCCCCTACTTCAGCCCGGGCCAGAGCCACGCCAATGGCAAGAACGTGCAGCCGCTGCGAATCAACACTGTACGCCTTTAAGAACTACACACATCTGTGGTTGCGATTGTCCTGACAGATGAATCCATCATAGGCGAATTCACAGGACTTGTGTAGGTTTCAAACGATGTTCAAGAAATCCGTTTAAAAGATGTTTAATAGGGTGTTTGAAATGTTTATTTCTTTCAGTTCAGTTAAGAATTGTGCTTGATGTTGCTCTTAAAACTGCTGTTTGTTTGTGACTTGAAATGACCATACGACAATGGCCTGCGAGCCTCATTCCACATCTTTAATCGAAAAGATGATGCTGAATGGAGACGGAAGGACCCCTGGGCTCCTCCGAGGTCTGTGGCAGCAAAAAAAAAAAAAAAGAAGTGATTTCCCCGTCTTAAAGTGACTGTCCCAGGCCCACCTTGCACACTCCCAGGGGGCACCGCTCTCCTTATCAAACCCCAGGCCTGTCAGACTTGACGTCCCTTCTCTGTCCAGGCAAGCGGACTCTGAAGACTGGTCACTTGTCTTCTCTGTGCTGTACAGTTGGCTTAGCTTCGTGTGTGGAATGTGATTGACAGCACTCGGCTCCCTTTTTTTGGGACTTTTGTTTGGCCACAGTCCACCCTGAACTTGTCAAGTCCATTTTACTTCTGTCTGAGACTGTGATCTCGGTTTCTGCTGCAGGTCACACCCACATGTGTCTGTTCAGTCATTGCAAGGAAAGCTCTTGTTCTGTGTGTACCAGCGATTATCCATGTCACCTAAAACAAAGGAAATTTATTAAAAGTCGTTTATAAGCTGCCCAGTCATGTCGTAGGGAAGTCTGTTTAGAGGTTGTCCAGAAATATGCTGCTATTGATGGAGTAAGAATTTGCATGTTTGTATATAGAGTATCAAGGGTTAAAAGGAATACGTCTCATCATGCTGGCTCATGTTTAGGTCTTTCCCCTTCCAAATACACTACACCCATGGGGTTTTTGTCCAATACAGTGTTGAATTCAAGTACATTTCTGCTTCCAATCATGATGTTTGATCATTTTGTCTAAAAAATCAAAAGCCAATTTAATCATTTGGTCTGAGTAGAACTCGATTTGTAAAAGCATGACTTCTCAGATGTGAAAATCTGACAGGTTAAAGATGAATTATTGCTTAAAAATGCTAAAGACACCAACAGTTTTCTCTTATTTTAATCATGTCATTTACCCAGAAGAAGTTAAGCTGTATGTTTTGGGGAATGGCCATTATCATGGAAAATGGTGATGTGTGGTAGGACTTTAGCACTAATATACTATTGCTGTGCGGCAGGCATTCCCAAGGCTGCTGCTGTGTTACATAATGACAGAATCACTGATAATTCTTCTGAAGTTCGCCCATGTTTATTTCTTCACCCCACATGCCTCAAGTGCTCTCGTTTATCAGTAACAAGTCCTGCAAAATCGGCTCCGGTCGCTCAGCCAAGTCGAGCATATTGAGAGATGTGTGTGTCTGTTGGTGGGTGGGCATGTGCACGGGGTAGGTTTATGTGGACTGGTTCAGCTATAATTTGATATCCAGCTTTGGTTGTGCTTGATGAAGCCATACCCATGCAGTGGCCAAAAGTGAGTATGACCAAATACCTTCAGGTAGATCTGGTAAGTCCAGCAAAAAGGAAATCACATCACCCTTCATTTGCCACTGTACATCTTTCTACATCTGCATTTGTGTGTGTGTTGTCTGTGGTGTTCATTTAAAGGAAAATCAGGGCAGTGCCCTTGTTTTTGTAGGATGTGATTCTGGTATTTGCAGTATGACGCAAACAAGGGTCAAATCGTGAGTATCTGCTAATAATTCTTGGTCTTTGTTTAAACTTGAGCAGATCCGCAGGAGCCTGTTTCAAGAAGCAGGTCCACGGAGTTGTCTGAATAACGTTAATAATTAGGTTTAGACAGTCAAGACAGTATTTGGTCTTTTTACTTTTCTCCGATTGTTCTTGAGAAGTAAATCCCAACCAGCAGATGCTTCATGCAGGTTAAAAAAAAATGCTTAAATTTGACCCCAGTTTGCCGTGTTGCACATTTCAAAGTGTTCTGCTTGATTAAAGACTTTATGTTGAATGAATGAATATTAAGAAGGAGATTATTGTGACGTGGTGTTGGGTTTCTGGTGGTGGTGGTGACGCTAATGGTTAAAATGATTTAAGTTGATAACTATGACACTTTTAATGATTATAATGATGATTGTGTGTGTCTTTTGATGATGGCAGCTGTGCACCCATCATTGTGTGAACACACTCTAGTGTGCTTTTGCTGCTGGAGGTTTGTGGAAAATGTTTTAATGTACAATAAATTACTGCTGAAATCAGCCAGTCTCTCTAAACTTTGTCCTGGTTTGGATGTGCATCAACACAAAGGTTTCAGAGCCTAAATAAGATGCACCAATTAGTGTTTTTTTTCTATCCCCCATTCTGATACCGAGTACTAACCCAACACTGGTGCTCTCTTTTTCTAATTTACAATGTGTACACTCCTCTGCGTGGAACATCTTTAAGCAGGTAACAGTAGCCAGAAATTACTAGGATTTAATGAAGGTAACTGATAGCAGAAACACTGACTGGTACTGTATTTAAGGTGGATGAGATCATGTCATGGTCGATGCCCGATCCACTTGATAAGGTCTGTAATGGGATACTGATCCATCATATCGGATCAATGCATTCCTAGTTTCCAGTCTGGGGGTTCATAACCTCCAATTTAAGAAAGATGAAAAACAGTAATTTATCTGGTACATAAAATCGGTTACAAAGATTCAGACACATCTTATGCTATTTTCTTGAGAAACACTGTAGGGGTTAACGTGCTGATGTTCAGCAGTAATGTTCACAATCTGATTTTAACATGTTAATATGAAAACATTTGCTAATGATTACTAAACACAAAGAACAGCTTAGCCTTCTGGGAACTGGTTTTGCAAACATTTCGTCGTGAACTTCGTGAACCTTCTGGTGGCACTAGATGGAAAGCCAGGGGAACACCAACGTCAGTGGGACTCCTGTGGGGACCATAAATGACTGTACAAACTTTCCAGGCAGTTCATCCAATAGTTGTTGAGATATTTCAGCCTGCACATGCGTATTAATTTGCTTTAATACTGACACTGGTTTAATGTTGCTGTTTTGAGTCAGAGAGTTAACATCATCTATCACATTACACTGAGAGCAAGAATATCCACATACTTGAAACTGAAGCTCTCAAAATGCAACATATCTGTAAGGCAGACGAGTCTTTGAAACTCAGGAAGGCTTTGCCTCTGCGTGTCGATACCTGCTCCAGTTCAGTGAGAGCTTCATGCCAGACATTTTAGTTGAGATGTGCCAAACTATAAGCCATCCAGCAGGGAGGTGGGAGGTTGTGCACTCTTTTTTTTTATTACTGTTCTGTTTTGGCATTGTCTGAGGCCCGAGCATGTTATATGATGAATACAAAAGATGTCTGCATGGGTTCAGTGTTCCCACACTGCAGGTGTGCCGCAGCTTTCAATAGGTCCTCTTCATTTGCCATCTGTGACGCGTTTTAATGACTGGTTGTTAAACTGGAGGGAAAACATTGTAAAAAGAAAAAAAAAAAGTTAAGATCTAAGTCATACACTGCACCAGAAACCCAGAAAGTTATGTTATTTGTGTTACTTTGAACCCTGATGCTTTTTTTTCTTTCTCACTCCAAAGCAATTGAGGCTTGTTGCATCATGATTACAGCTGTTCCATAACAAACTGGAGTTTGAAGGAGAGTGCCGTCTATTCGCAGCAGGCCCTCAGGACAAGTGACTTCATATCCTCAGCTTTGATTTGTGAGTATTTTTCTCTCCTCACTCACGTGATAGAGGGATTTTTATCTGGGGAGAAGGTGTCCATCCTGTAATAGACATTTTTACCCGAGGGGAAAGTGTCCATTAAAAAGTCACTGAGCTCTCCTTTGAGAGACCCGTATCTGATTCCAGTCTGTTGTGGCCCTCCTGAGGCGGGAGTGTAAGGTTTTTAATCTTGTAAGTGATGGGAAAAGCAGGAATGAAAGCTCGCATTTGTCGCATATATCACTTAGAGTTAAAGAACAAGAGCTGGTGGCGTGAACAGATCTTTTGTCCCTATTATTATACATGTTTTAGGATTATGTGTTAGGCTAACTATATCTTGGGGTTAAACATTATACAGTAACAATAAAGACAAACAGGTTTTTAAGCCATTGTACTGCTGAAATAGTGGATTTGTTGATGAGTTGAGGGACAGAAAATTAATCACTAACTGATTTGTTTATCAAGCAAAAATACTAAACATTTCCTGGTTTCCAGCTTGTTAAATGTGAGGATTTTCTTCTTCTCTGTTTTATATTATTGAAAATAAGATAAATTTAGGTTTTGGACGGCAGGTCAGACAAAACAAGCAGCTTCAAGTTGTCACATTGGGCTTTGGAAACTTGTGATGTGCTTTTTTCACTTCATTCGGATATTTTGTTAGACTGAAAAATATCCATCCTACACTGTCTAGTGCCCTGGAGGATGTACATTATGATGGTAAAGTAATTAGATTAGACTTTTTACATTATAGACCTTATGAAATTAATGTATCTAGTCCAAAATCTTTGAAGGTGGGACTCAAATCGCCCCAGAAAGCAGAAAATAAAAGTTTACACATCTGCCTGGGAGTAGTTGAAGCACTTGTATGTGTCCTGTTAAAGCCATAAAATGAAACACCATTAGTGAAGGAAGTCTACCATGCATACAGCTTCTTGATGTTTCTCGTGCTATTCTCACAGAGCACAGTTCCAGCACTGAATAGTAACAACGTCAACAAGACATTTCCTCTTAATGTCATCATACCCCCAACAACAACAAACAACAAAAAATCAACAAAGACACTCTCATTAACCTTTTGTCTGTTCACACCTCTGGACACATCAGGGAATCAACAGCCTCTCCATCTGTCCTAAAAATAGCATGAACAGGCCCAGCAGAAGATCATGGCCTTGTGGTTTAATCTCGCCAAAGTCAGTGTGAGCTGCGGTTTAAGTATGTGTCTGCACAGGTCTCTGCGCTTTGAAAGAAGAGATGTTCACTCAGCCCTCTGGCTCCATCAAAAGGTAAGACAACCTAAGAATGCCCTCTTTTGTTTCCTGAATCCTCCTTCATCCCTCTCAGGTTACAAACCAAAGCTCCTATCAAACATTACAGGAGCTTCAGGGTGTCAGGTGTCAGGATGAGTTGTTGTTGTACCGGAGTGCCCTCTGGTGTTGACACCTGTGTCCCTGCTCACCCTTGGATTATATGCACTTGCCACTTCAGGCATGACCCGTGCATATCTGTCCCTACAATGTGATTACAAGACAGTTCAAGTTCAGTTTATCCAGTAGCACAATAATGTTAGTCTCTTTAAATTCACAGGAGCAAGTTACCCCTTTCATTAACCTTATGTTAAATAAGCAGAGTTAAATAAGCAGATTTAAACCACACATTTGACCATTAAATAGTAATATACCACACACGCATCTCTCCTATGTTTAATATATATAAAAGCATTGCCTGTGTGGAAAATGACAAACTGTAGTTACAGTGCAGGTTGTCACTGGCTACCCAAAGTGTACAAGGTTTTTGGGCAGATTAAACAACATATGTTAATCGGCGAGCTTTAGCTGTGCTGGTAGGCTGATTTTCTTTGTTACCTTTTGATAGAGCCAAGCAAGATGTTTCCTCCAAATCCAGTTGTTATGCTAAGCTAACTGGCTGCTGGCTGTAACTTTATATTTAACTTCAGCCAGAGTAGTATCAATCTTCTAAGTAACTCTTGGCTAGAAAGCAAATAACTGTATTTCCTCAATATGTCCAACTTTTGCTTTGTAAAAGTACCAATACAACAATGCACCATTAGCAGCCTAGCATCCAGAACCCCACTCAGTTTGTATTTTTGTTTTGTTTTGATGATTTGACCAGTTTTGGCCTCAAACTCTTATTTAAATAAAACTATCTGAGAAGTTCATAGGAGAAATTTTTGTTTGGTGCAACTGCTAACAACTAATAAGCATCTGAAACAGGGCCTCAACTAGACACTGTCTTTTGACACAAGCTAGAGAAGTTGGAAACAAGTTGTTTAATATAAAACAGTGCTTTGTATTTTATAACTATGTTTTTTAATGTAAAATCTCAAGCATAAAAGTAACTAGCGACTACAGCCATCCAAATACGTGTAGTGGAGTAGCATAAAATGGAAAGATTCAAGGAAAGTCTAGGAGTACCTCAACATTTTACTTAAAGACAGTAACTGACTGAATGCACTCAAGTTACTTTTCACCTGTGAGCAGTAGTACAATCATTTGAAACCAGCTGATTTACAGAGACAAAATTACAAAGAAGAAAAACATCTGTGGAGCCTCAAGTCAGTCATTATTTATTCATACATTTCTTTTTATCCATGTGATACAGCATCAACACACTTCATATTATTACTTTCAAAACACTATTTGCCCCTGGATTAGTCTTATTTAAACTGATGAAACTCTTTCTCTAACCCATCTTGTAATGACTAATCGCTGCAGATCTTAAGGTTCCCAACAATAAAAGCAGGCCTTCCAGCCAGCCATCTGTTTCAGTCAGGTTTAGTTCCTTTCTACTGAGCACGCCTCAACCTGTCTCCTCAGCACCTTTCAGCAGTTTCCACATATTATTCTTTGCATGTGAATGGTTGCTCAGTAATGCTTATTTACACTCCATTGAAACCAACGTTGACAGGTAGACCTGCTGTCTGCACACATGCAATATTAATCTGGTGATCCGGTTGCAAATAGCCCCCAGTCAGCGTCCACTTTTGCTTCTCGCTGGCATGTTTTTATACAAGTGTTTCATTTTGAGAGGCCGATGTGTTGCTTGTTTTTGCTGTGAATGAAACTAAAGACTTGATGCACAGCTCCAGCAGAGTCTCTATATTCCTGATCAGAAGAATGTTCACACTGAGGTTTAGAGGAAGCACAAAGATGGAGAGCACGCCCACGAACCCTATCATTACATTCAACCCCAGGGAGTGAAAGCCGCTCTGTCGCCACCCACACTGGCTCCTGTATTGTGAGTCCACGTGGTCCTCCTTGATAAATGTCAGAGGTGTACATCTCTTTGTCCTTTCATGCTCCTGTCCTCCCCTCTCTGCAGACAAACACTGGGGGGAGATGAGGACAAGGTCTCCATGGTGACACACCGACATCTGCATGCTGTTCCAGGAACACGCTCTGTGAACAGTGCAGCTGCTCTCTGTTTTCTCTGGGTCAACACACTGTGTTGCCTCTGATACAGACATCTCAGGGTTCGCAGGCTTGGAGGGTGCAGACAGTGCTAGAACAAGGCTTTGCCAGCAACTGCCGCCATTATTGTTAACTCGACGTTTCTCTCTGGCTTTCCTTCCCATCTCTGCAGGGACCCAGTGTCGCCTGTGCAGGCCCGTGCTAGTGGTTAGGAGGAGCAGGAGGAGGGAGAGGAAGGCCATGCCCCAGCATGGATTCACAGTGCTGGATATGGGGCTAAAAAGGTTGGGCAAACATCTCATGAGGGAGTTGGTTGAGTGCAAACAGGCAGTAGTCCACACTTCCTCCAGCTTCCATCGCCACCTGATGTTTAGGGCGACGACGACCCACACAGACAGGCAGCAGAAGTAGCTGACAACATGAGACAAGCTCTTTTCGTTGTCTGGGTTGTCGCTGTCCTCCTCTTCTTTCCCAGTCAACTCTCCAGCATAACAGCGTTGACCATCAGAGCCCGCTGCTTGACTCTTGTGAGCGACAGGCCACAGCAGTCTGGTTACAGTCTCCAGAGCAATCAGAGGTGTGGTCAGGAGCAACACCACACCATATGTGTGGCTGAGAAAGAGCAGGAAGCGCAGGGCAATGACATCACCCAGTGGGGTCAGATCAGACAGCCAGGACTCAAAGATGCAAAGGAAAGTCAGAAAACCTGTGGGAGAAAAAAAAGACATAGACATGTTAAAGACACAAACAATTTGTGTCCAATGTGTTTTTTCCACAAAAAAGTTAAATTACCCAGTTAAAACACATTAAAATTGCATCTACTCCTTCTCCCTCATTGAAAAATCCAGAATCTTTGAACGTGCGGATATTGCTCATTTTAAAAGTTAAACTGCTGGACATGATATCTCCTACTTTGCTGTCTATGTGCACTAAAGGTTTCCAGTGTCCACCTCACACTTGTGCAAGTTGCATATTAGCTCATACTCATGCTCATACACATGTTAAACTGAGATTTAATGTAAGCACAGAGAAGTTTTTCTCCTTCAGCAGATGAATGTAAAAACTGCCAACATATACTGTATGAGTATACATATACCCACATATTTTTGTGGAGGAAAATGAAAATGAATGGAAAGCCAATCTTCTGCTACTCTGTTATATTCATTATCAATTAATCATTCAGTAAGGGTCAGAAAATGGTGACAATGCCGTCACAGTTCCCTTAAATTTAAAGTGTCATGTTTTGTCCAGCCAAGAAACATTTTAGTTTACTATCACATAAGCTAGCAAATCCTCGCATTTGAGAAGCTGAAACTTGGACATTTTTTGGCTTTTCTGCTTTAAAAATTATTTTTTTGTTGCCGTTGTTCAAATCAATACATCAAATGAATATGAATCAATTAATCAACATGTGACAAAAGATGAACTCTGCAGATAGGCTGTCGGAGAAGCAGCCAATCAAGAATGGCACTACTCTCCCCTGCTTGCACAACACAACTAATGGTTCCAAGTCAAATTCCTGAAATTAAAAACAGCTACAGCTTGCTGATACTCACCGGTGACCACGAAGTCAGTGAAGATCAGAAGGCAGCAGCAGCAGAAGCTGACGGGACTGTGGGGGGCAGCCAATGAAGGCAGGAAGAGGAGACTGCAGGCCAGTTTACATACACACAACACCGCCGCTCCTTCCAACACTCCATCCATTGCTAAAACAAAACAGCAACGTATTGTCAACGTATTGAAAAAATGGTTTCCCCTTTTGCCTCTGGGTGGAAGAGCTCAGGAATGCCAGGTACTCTGCCGACATTAAACCCCCCAACATTGTTAAATATTTCTGTATAGCTTCTGTAGAAATGTATATCCTCACATTAATGTTTTACGCAACCGTTCCACTGTCAGTAAATGTTTCTGCACTGTGCTTGCAGATCAATATTTTCACTGTTTACATTAGCAGTGAACTCTGTTAATCAAAAATGTGGAAACTCAGGAATAAATTCAATTGTCTTCTGCTGCCAACAAACATGATATTTAAAATACTTTTAAAAAGTTATTTAAAAAGATATTTTACACCATAAGTGAATAAACAAATGCCACGAACCTCCTCAGTAATGTCAACACAGATGCACATGCACACACTCGCTGTGACCTGAGAGTAAATACTTCCACCCCCTGACCATGATACTGTACAATCATACTGGTTCAACCTGTAAAGAACACACCTCATCATCTCTATCACATGCTTACAGTAGGAAAATTCAAACTACATGTAAAAGAAAAACATAAATCCAGATCAAGACCTGCTGTGAATTGCATTAGTTTTACCTGAAGTAGGAGCCTTCAGAGCAGCATGTCAATATGAGCTTCAAATGTTTGATCCGTTTGCTTCACCTCCCCCTTTGTGCTCCACCCTCATGGGGATAATGACCCACCCCCCTCCCCCCCCTGTGCTCCCTGCACTCCCTGCACTCCCTGCACCTGGCCTGTGTGGAGGTGAGAGAAAATGTGCATCTCAGTGGGTGTGGCACTGTTTGTGCAGACAAGAAAACCTGTCTGACGACTAACTAACAGTGAGGATGCAAAGTGCATGTATGTGCGAGTGTCAAAATCAATAAGAGGTTTTTCTGGATTGACGATGTTTAATTTTCTCAGTGAATGTACAAACATTCCTGTGTTACACCCACCTTGTTCAAACTACAGTATGTTATTTCAAAGGTTACGGCAAATTCACTCATGCAGAGTGTTTCGTAAAGCAGGATCAGACTATAAATCACATAACTGTGGAGAAGGTGATGCCATTTCTTGGGGATATTATTTTGAAAGTATACTACAAACGTTTATTATTAGGTTAAGCTATATAATTCATTGATGCCTTTCAAAACTTCATTTTAACCTCAGACCTTATTAAAATGTTGTTCCCCATCATTTAGAAATCATATATGAGGATGATCGCTTTACTTTCCAGTTAATAACCACTGTACATTGTTTGGACAGGTGTGATGGTCCTATTTAACCAACAGAAGGGCGTTGCGCTGTACATAATGTATCTTTAAGGCTCTCAGATTATACATCTTGGCAAAGCTGGTTTGAAACGTGATGCCCCTAACAGATGGAATGAGATGTGGAAAACAGTTAAAATCTCATTTTCTATTTGAAAACTTTAAAACACAACAACAGAGAATGAAAGTTCATTCTTGACCTTGAAAAACAGCGGTTGAAATATAGCCCACCCCACCAGGTCGGTGTAATAGCTGTTCTGGAGCTTTTGTTGATCCTATCACTTCAGCTGATGGAGCTTGCCAAATGGTCACGAGATTTTAAATGTCTAAAATTCCCTATTGTCGTTTAAGGCCTTCTCATCCGTGTTTGCTAAAAAGACTGAAAGTTCACTCTTTATGTTTGTAATACGATCGATCAAAAGCTCCAGAAGTGGACCTTGAGTGGTGAGATTGTTTTTACTGCCGCTTCCAAGGTGAAGAATGAACTATGAAACTCAATATTTTAGCTAATATGGAACACGTGAAGTCTTAAAAAAATGCCCAGAAGAATAAAACATCCATGACATCCGGGCAAATGTCATCTGCTGAGGAGATAAAACCTCTAGAAAAGCTACCAAGACCGTTTTGTCAAACTTTATTTCAACTACTAGAAATCTGAATGCCACTTCTGATTGTTTTCTTTAATGAGAAACTAGTTGGGCTGTTTTTATACTACTACTACTGATTTCTATGCGATTAACTGTTTAAATAAAGTATTAACTTACTAACTGTACTGCAGCTTTCATAGCTTTAACACAGTCCAGTAAGGCATCATTTTGATGCATAAATCTGTTTTTTGTAAACAATAGGCTCATAGATCTGTCTGCATGATACAAAGGTTTGTGAACTGCATTTTCTTATCAGGTTTTATTGACTTCTTTTCTCATAGATACAAATGCAGTAGGAGGTTGTGCAAAGGCATAGTCATAAAGATAAAGCTCATAGAAAGAAATTCTGGCAAAACAGAAAACAAACCAGATTTGTTCTGGTCTTCGAAGGGCCCAAACATTTGTCTCATCTGATCTCGTTTCAGCTCATGAGCGGAGATTGTTATAGTAGTGTAGTAAAGGGACTGTTTTGGAAGTGCAGTGTACCTTTTCTCATAAGCAGAGGAAATTGATCCATAGGAAGGTTTTAAACATCTAATAAATACAACTGCCACTCTCAGGTTCTGCTCTACCTCTCTAATTATTTACATATGGACGCCGTTTGTATCCTCAGTCTGACTCGTGGTGGAGATATGAGATGGAGTCCTGTGGAGTTTTGCATTGGCTATGGATTTGTGAGCAGACATTTGAATGTGTGTGTGTTAATTTGTATGAAAATGCAGTTAAGAAAGATAAAAAAGCAGCCGGTGTTGAACAGTGGGAAAAAATGTGGCCTGCTCAGAGGGGGTCAACTCTGGATTCTAGTGCAGAACGACAATAACAGGGCCAGTTTTTATGCTGACGATCACACTTAAAATGACATGGCGGATTTACACAGTGGCAGTTTAGTAAGCACACATAGCTTTACTAATGAGCCTTCACAGAGGCTTTAATGTTTGTTGAAGGTGTTGATTCAACTTCTATCAGTGATCAGTGTCTGTGTCTGTTAAATTGTTCAGTGTTAGCCAACAACCACTATAGGCAGCGAAAAAGTAGGCTGATAACTTCAAAAAGAAGCAGGAGCACTTTAGAATGATGCAGTGTATTTGTGTATCTGGTTTGAGTAGGAAAGCTACGCAATAATGTAATAGTTTGTCCATCCTTATTGATATAAGTGGGGTGGACAAACTTTTAAATACAATAAATTTCAAAATGCAGACTCCAAAATGCCCACAAAGTTGAATAAAAGCCTTTCTCTAATAAATTGGCAATTGAGTGTGCAATCCATTTTTTTTTTAAAACAAGATGATCAACAAAATGCCTGCCTAAATAACATGATTTGATTGTTTTAATCTGAGCACCGTGTGTAATATCGCCTCCTGTTTTCAGGCATGGCAGCAGTGCCATCTCCTGCTGAGCTAAGCACAGAGCATATTAGCAGCCTGTCATGCTGCTGCTGAGAGGATTACACTTTATATTTACTGCCCATGACCGTCATGACCTGGGACAGGCAGACAGACAAAGCGTGGAAAGGATGACACCTGCATGCAACAAACTCTTCTCCCCGTGCATTTAATACGGGAGCTTTCTGGCGATCAGTAGCCGACAGCCTTATCTGTCTTTATTGAGACTATTGCGATGATGATACACGTAAGAGAAAGTCAGCCTCACGCGTGCCATCAAATGAATGCCATAACAGTCACTGAAAACCATTTAAAAAAAAACTTCGCGCACACAGATTTAACTAACACTGCAGCACACGGGTGAAAAGAAAGAAAATAGCCAGTGTGAAAATGGGTTAAAAAATCTGTTTCAGCTGAATTCCTCGCCTGCAGCACCCAGAAGTGAACAGCAGGCGACCCGGAAGGTTTGAAGTCCGACTGGGAGCGAGCAGAAAGAAGAGTCTAATCCTTTATAAAATATTTCTACTCTCGCTGGTTCAGGTAGGTTGGCCGCCCGATGCAAATTATCTGCCTATTTTCTGCTCTTTTCTCTCCTGTGTTGCTTCGTCGCCGTTTCTATGCAAGTCATGCAAAAGTTGTAATTAAAAAAAAACAAAAAAAAACACGAGCATTTGCGGCGCAGAGGTGATAAAGACTGATTTTTTTTCTTCTGCCCTGCAAATAAAAGCTCACGCGCCACTATTAACGTCGACTGGATTTGCGGCTCAGCGGCTGCAGAGCTTTCAGCAAAGGCATGATGATTGTTGTAGGAAGTGTCAGGCTCTTTTTTTTCCTCCTCTCCTCAAGCCGGGCTATTCAAACCTGCAAATCAAAGTAAACAATCGTTCGTACGCTTAATGCAAATATGCCACTTCCACGACCCATCGCAAAAGCGTTCAATTACACCTGGAGAATCATCTCCTTATAATATTCGGATCTGCAGAATATGGCGTCCAGTGCTTATAAAAATAAGACGGGGCTGCCATTTTTGTTTTCCTTTTGTCTGAAATTTTTTAATAAACTGTCTGAGAATGTGGGAGAGGCGGCGGACAGACCGGGGCGCTGCGGAGGATCGTTTCTCTCCGGAGATGCTCTCATGTAAAGCTGAGGGGTCTCCGATTTATACATCAGCTGCTGTTTCTTGTGGTGTTTGAACGGAGGAATACTTCAGCAAAGCAGGTACAAAAAAAAAGGGGGGGGGGGGGTAACCCTAACTTTAGTTTCAGAGATGAACTTGTGTTTCTACAGGTGATCTGTTTTCTCCTTTCTTACACTGATGCTGACATATTGCGATTTAAAAATAGTTTTGTGTCTGCAAAAGACGTACTACCTGCACATCATTGTGGTAACACTTGACCCTGACTTTCTAATATATCCTTTATAAAGGTTTAAACATTTAGGCTATATGCTAGAATAAAGTCCCTCTGAATGGTTTTCTTTTTGGTAATAATGCAGTTATACATATTAACCCATAAATAAATGATCATGGAGTTGGCACATTATAAAAGGATTTCAAGTCTCCAGGAATAAATGTTAATAAGTCATTAATAAAGGGGGTTTAATCCACTATGTCTGCTGTTGTATGCTAATGAGTGTATGAAGTTTGGCCAGTCAGTAAGATATTTTATTTCAGAACCTCAAAACCTAAAGGTTGTTCTAGCTGGCTTAATTGAGCTAAAAAGCATTTGTAAATTATTTATTAACCATTAATAAAGCCATTAGTTACAATTTACAACCCTTTATAAAGGGTGATGTATTAGAACTTACTACTATTTATTTTACAACTTTTGTAAAAATAAAAAAGGACCAACATTTTAATAAATGCATTGAATAAAAGAGTCATTTAGTCTGAACTCTTAAGCGAAAGTTGTTGCTTTTAAGACTGTTTTGAATACATCACCTTGGGCCCCGGAAATTATAATGGCCATTTTATTGATATTATCAAAAAAGTTAATCTGCACATAACCAACAATGAAAATATCCCTTATTTGCATCCCCGATGAGCAGGATGTAAGATTTTCTTTTTTTTAATTATTATTATTAAAGGATATTGAGCTCCTCTCTAATGCTTCAGAAATACTGTTCAAGTACCTGCTGGAAATACTTCAGAACCTGTTACTTGAAGGCATTGATATTCAAGCCCTGTAGAAACTCAGCTACACAAGTCCACAAACAATGCAGTCTAAACCTGACTCTACAGGTTGCAAAAATGAACGTGACACACATACAGTATTCTCTGTGCAGCGTGTCATTTCAAAAATGTGACACAAAGATGTGTGGCAGCAGTCAAACCAGTGAGCCGGCTCCCCCGAGGCAGAAAGCCTCCAGGAAGTGAAACTGATCCCCACTGGCATCATTAGAGAAATATTTTGTGGGGTTTACTGTACGCTCGTACCCCTGGACGTA